TTGGGCATTCTCATAGCTGAGTTTTCTTCAGATGTACAGCCTAGGTAGATACCTTTCTCTGCCTATCTATAAGCCCCCTTTTCTTCCCCTTATTAGCTTTGGGTTTGAATTGAATTTAAATGAACTAGGACTTGTGATAAATAGCTAAATGTGTCTTTCAAAGGTGAAGGAATAGGCATAGTGTACCATTTATCAGATAGTGTGTGCAGTGTTTATTCTTTTAACATGTTGATAGCTTCATCAACAAAGCTTTATCAAGCTTTGCAATGGACAACAGAACAATTATATTTTATTGGAGGAATTCAAGTCCAGGATTAATGAAGAGGATTTGAAACATCTGGAAACAATGAATTTCTATTGTAAGCCCAAGAGGAATTCAATGCAGACCCATTGGTAGAAACTGTTACAGTGCAATATAAATTGCAAACAAAGTAGGAACAATGAAAGTAAAACAAAAAATAAATCTACAAAATTTTGCTAGAAATAAGAGATTTCCTGAGACCCTGACACCAGCATGCTTGATAAAAAAAACTGAAGACATTTTTGGAGTCCATTCCTGTAGAGATGATTTGTGAGCATTTGCTACAAAGTGGTAATTATCAGGAGACAGCATAAATGTAATTAAAATGCATGCCTATAAAGCTAACCTCATTTGTTTCTGTAGAATTACTGACATGGGAGATTGGACAGTTGGTTGCTTGCTGCATCTTCAATTTTAAGTAATTCAGTCAAGTTACGAGCTACACACAGAAAATAAAGAAACATGATCGGGGTGGTGGTGTAATTAGAGGGGTTTGTAGCTGGTTTAAATTGTGTCTAAGCAAAGCAATATGGCCTTTGTCTAGTCTTCAATTCCACCTCTAATCATTCCCATTTCCCTCTGTCCAGCTACAAGGAATTACAAATGCTCCTCCAATTACAATGTGTGATATATCGATAAAGCCATAAATGAGAATATTTAAGTTGAAAATGCACTTAATGTTTCTAAGCTACCAAACGTTCTTGCTTAGCAACAGCACACTGAGAAGAACTGACCATCCCCCCCCTTGAAACCATGAGACTGATGGGTGCTGAGGCGCACTGCTGCTTCCAGCATCCTAAGAGATCTTTTCATGTAATGCTAGCTTGGGAAAAGATCAAATCCAACATACAGTTTCTAGTGAATGAATTTCATTTTCTTGTCATTTTAACGCCAAAAAAACCAGTCACTCACCACTGTAAATAAGAGACCATCTGTATTTGCAGTTCTTTAAACCTATCATATTCTCATATCTGTTTTTTTTTTTTTTGCAAATGCTTTATTTTGCCTGAGCTGATGTTTCCTCCCCTTTCACCTCATTCCTACCCATCCCTTGAGGTATCAGTTTTGGAAACTGACCAGCAGATTTGGAGTTTGGCAAGTCAGAAAACATCTTGGAGCCATTGGTAGGTTTCTGTCTCCTTTACTCAGGGTGGCAATAAGAAATGCACGCATAGCCACTTGCCCCCGACAGTAATGGGGCTGCAGGAGATACCCCCTTTTGTGTCCACAGAGGCAGTCAGACCCACATCTACACACACCCACACACAGGCAGCTGCATGTGTCCAATACACCTACAGCCAACCACATATGTGTCCACATCCACACATAGGAAACTGCATCTAGCCGTGTCCCCCAGTTACTGATATGGATTTACAGACGAAAGTGGCCTGGAGCTGAACTGTTATGTAACAGATTTGTGAGCAGCAAGCCCAGTAGGTGGACCTTTCAGATACCACACCACTGGTTACTATACAGAGATATGGGAACACGGAGATAAGGGGACATGGGCAAGAGGTGTGGGAACTTGATCTCCTCAACAAATGTGCCTAGAAACAACCTCCCACCCTCCCAGGTCTAGGCTAATTGTGCCCTTTGGTGCCATCAGGGCACATCCTGCCTACCTGCTGAATGCTGTCCTGTATTACAATGTCATTTCTGCTTTCTCAACTGTAAACTGCCTGAGCGTGAGAACTGTCTTGTTTATAGTTATACCCTTAGTATCTAACACATTACATGACACATGGCTGTGCAATAACCATCGACGTAAGCATTACATGTTGTAGTGGCTTTATGACCTCTTTCCAGAACTTACCATGGAATTGGAAAACAGAAAGCAAATCCATTCATTTTTTAAGATGGTAAAAAATGGGGAGGGTGACAGAACCCAAATTCAAAGATGTAATGGTTCAAAGACACTTTAACAGGCTAGAAAGACATCAAACGCAGCAAGGTAAAATTCTACGGAGAAATTTACACTTTGGCATTTAGGTTTATTTTGCAGTCGATCTCCACGTGTGGCTCTTTCCAAACTAAAAATCTCTTCGCACATTAGAAAGGGTTTTTAAATTTTTAATTAAGAATTAAACTAGAATATGTTGCACATAATAGAGAATCCACTGAAGGACTGCCAAAACAGAATCTCACCCTAAATTTATTATAGCTGAAGAGATGCAAGCTGTTACATTCCTATCTCCAAGGGCAGGAATTCTCAGAGGACTTGACAGCACCATTTTATTCTAAATTCACCTGATAACCCTGGCAATCACGTGTTTGTTAATTGCCTTTCTCCAGCAAAGATCAGTTCCTCCCATCTTTGACAGGAGATTGGTATGCAGTTTGGATCCAGTTGCCTGCAAGTCAGGCTTCCTTCTTAAAACCGGGTCCTTAGTGATTCAAGTGCAGATAAAGGGCTCCCAGGTCCTTGGAAGAACATTCCTGGGTATGAAATTGAAAAGAGGCTAATTGAGCTTTTGGAGAGATTGGTAAGCATCTCAAAGAAGCCCAGCAAGAGCTTGAAATCAAAGTTTTCTACAATAAATGATTAAATGACTTTTCTTCTGATTTGTATTGACTTGTACATAAACACCATTAGAATCATCCACACACTTTGGTTATTTGCAGATGCTCAGATCCAAATTCAGGGCTCAGTCAAAACCTCTGGGGATGTGTCCCAACAAATTCAATTTTTCAATGAGCTCCCCAGGAGGTGCTCATGGTGACTAAAGTTTGAAAACCATTGTAGAGGGTTGTTTACAGCAGGCCCTGTGACAAGGATCTGAATTTCAGGAGAAATAGAGGTTATCTACAATGTATATATGTGATTATCTGCTTTGCCTGTTATCGTAATTATCCAGAAATTAAGATATCTCAAGTAGATGTTAGCTAAGGGCTTACATTGTGGTATACCCGGCTGTGGGTTGCAATGCCAATTTCCTTTAAGGGCACTGACCTGAGTCTTGGCTGCTCCATTTGCGATCTGCTCCTGTGAAAGCAGCAGAACACGGCTGCAGTGCCTGGGTCCCTACATCCATGTAGAGAACCCAGATGAAGTTCCAGGTTCCTGGCCTCACCCTGTCCCAGCCCTGGCTGCCACAGTCATCTGGGGAGTGAACCAATGCATGGAAGAGCTCTTGCTTCCTCTCAAAGAAATAAAACTATATATACATATACGTATTTTTAAGATAAATCTAGCTTACCCACTAGTCAAAATCAACCAGTTCCAAAAGAGAGGAAGAAAAGCAAGGTATTTTTAAAAACTTGGCTCATGTAGCTCTAGTTTATCTTGTAATATGCAGAGTTCCTAATTATCTGGAAAATCACTAATTACCAAATCAAGTTAAGCCAAGAAAGCTGAAGTTAAAACTAGATAATTATATACAGTTTCTCCCTGACATTTCTCCTGGTTCTCTACTGGGGACCTGATGACTTACCAGTGTTTCATCAATTTCAGTGCAAATGGAGTCACTTGAAATTGTATTTCATGCCACACATTGTTGATTCAAACAGCCACAGAGGGAGAAGGCAGCGGGTTGTTTGGCTGAGTTACTGAGAGCAGTTGGGGTGTCCTGCTGCTCCTTCAGAGCGAGGGCTAGCCCCTGCCAGGACCTCACAAGCTTCTGACTCCAGTGCAGTTCTAGGTAGAGGGGCCAGGGAATCCATCCAGAAAAACTGAGTGTGACCTGGGCTTGAAGGAAAACACTGAAGAGCATGTGAGTGCCAACAATCCTCTGAGAGATCCACCTGCAGTCAAGCCCACTTTACTTTTTAGGAAATTGAGCACCCTTCATTTGTCAATCTGTGCTAACCCTGTAGTCCTTATGCAAGCTTTGTTATTTATCAGTATTTCCTTTCGGTGATTTGTGTGATTTAAAAGATAATCCTGGGGAATTAGGTGTGATATGACTATGCTGTCCTGCATGGACCTGCTGTGTTGAAACCTTTCATTAGGAAGCTGTTGTAATTCTATCTACCATGCACTTTAATGAAGTTGATCAAATTTATGTTTGATGCTAACTCCCTACAAATTTTACAGTGGGAAAAAATTCCTGCATGCAGTTATCAGGGAGCTGGGCCAAGCCCCAGTGTATTTTGTTAGCACAGCATATATGAGGTCAAGGGTGGAGGGGCAGTCTGCATCCAAACTTAATGCAAAATTAAAGCAAATATTTTGTTTTTAACTACATCTTTGAAAAATGCAACTGGCACTCTTTTTCTGTAATGGTTAGGTACGTAAAGGGTTCCTCCGCCTTAACGTGAAAATTCCCAAGAATTCAAGAAGGTAGTTTAGTGAATCTATACTGACCAGCACAATGATAAGCCCACGCATATTTTAGAAACAGCAGTTAGAGATCGTGTCTCTGGAGGCTTTTTCTCTCTGTGAGGTGGAGTACTCCCATGCCCTGACTCCCCCGATGTCTGTAATCACCCAGGCCAAAGCTGGGTGCCAACATTCAATCCATCCAGCGTCCCAGTCACTGCAGCCACCCTCACTGCCTCCCAGGAGCAGTGCTGGCTGGAAGCTGGAGGAGTCCCATCCCAGCACGCTGATCAAGTACACCAGCTCTTCCACATGAGGCTAAACCTTTTCTCCTGGAGAAACCCTCAGGAAACCCCTCGCAGGAGACACCGCAAACTCTTCCTCCCAACCTGTTATGTCCATCAGGTTCCATAAAGAAAAATACAGGATTACGAACCAAGCTTTAATGATCAAGAAGTGCTTTTAATGACAGAATACAGAGTGCAGTGTAAGGTATAGTAATTTTACTCACACAGCTAACATAGGAGAACAAAGCCATCACATAGCTAACATTCCTCCACTTACACAGGAGAATAAAGCCAGGGAGGCAGAGCACCAGACCGACCAGCGCCATCCCCATTAGTTTCCACCTTGAGTGACACACAACTGTGAACAGCATCTTGCGGCAATGCCGAACCACCACTCCCAGGTTTTCTGTCTCTTTTCTGAGCTGCGTATATATTTTTAACACAAAGCGTGACCCAGAAAGGAAAGCTGTGAAACAACGATCAGATATGCAGCCTTTACGTACAAAAAGCATGTTGGGCAGAAGTCAATGTTTTGAGAACGCCAGGGAGTTCAGCTCCCTATCTTCTCCACCTCTGCTTTTTCTGTAGCACCAAATAAGGCGTTAAGGCACAGAGCGACGGGATCCAGACAGCGACATTTCATGAACTGTCTTATTCCCCCCCTCCAGGTAGTGGCCAAGCCTGGATTTCTCCAAAAGGCTGTGCTTACAACGGAAATGAGATGCCGTCAGACGAAGAAGTTCGGGGCGCACTGCATGCTGGCGCTGAGCTCTCTCCACCTGTGCACGGGGCAGAGGGAAGCAGCCGGCCTTCCTCTCTGTCGGAGGGGCAGGGGTGCGGTGCTGGGGGGCCCTGGCGGGCAGGGGTCACCGGGTGGCTCCGAAGAGGTGGCTGGGCCTCGGCAGGTGCACCGGGGACGGGCCTACCGACGCCCCCCGAAGGTCAGCCGCAGCGCCTCCACGAATTCGGCGTACTGCATCAGCACCGGGCTCTCCCTCTCGATGTAGGGGACCACCCACCGCTCGGCCGGCCCCGTGAAGCGGCTGATGAGGAACGCCACCTTGAGCGTGTCGTTGGGGAACCGGGCCTCGAAGTAGTTCATGTAAGACGCCGCCTGGATCAGGAACTCGTCCAGCCGGGCCGAGTCGCCGTCAAACGCCTCGGGGAAAGCCACGGGGCAGGGGGGCGGGCGCACCTGGGCCAGCAGGTTGGCCTTCTCACACAGCAACCGCCGCACCTGGTCCATGAGCTCGTCGTTCTCCCTGCGCAGCGCATGGTTCTGGCTCAGGAGGTCCTGCATCATGACTGCCAACGCGTCCATTCCCCGCCTGGCCACCGCCCGGAAGTGTCCCTGCCCCGAAGGCGGGGACGGCTACCGGAAGTGCGTGTCGGCTTGTGACGTCGGTCCACGCGCCGGCGCACTTGGAGGCCCCGGAAGCCATTGCTTGAAGGCCAGAGCGCCAGCGGGGAAGGCTACCGCAGGGCCGGGGGCCGGGAGGGCGAGTGTTGAGCCGAGCGGGGCGGCCGCGAAGCGGGTGAGGGGAGCGAGAGCGAGAAGCCTGGGCCGAGGAGCGCGGGCCGGGCTCGGCGGAAGAACCTGGCGTCATGGCGGAAGAACCTGGCGCCCCGGCGGACGAACCTGGCGCCCCGGCGGCCGTGTGTCACTTCCGGGAGGCTCAGCGGGGCGGGACGCACCGATATTTAAAGGGGCCGCGCGCGTCCCAGCGATTGTGTGTGAGGTTTTCTGAGGTTTCTTTGGGTCGTTCCGGCTGTGGCGCGTGTTCCGCAGTCCCGGTGCTGGCCCGGTTTTCCTCGAGGCCTCACGTCCTCCGGAAGGCGATTCCGGGGCTTTCCTCCCTGATAGAACCTGCTTTGCATCCTCTCCGTCTTCCCGGGGCTGTGAAGTCCGGGCCGTTTTTGTTTTTGCTCAGGAGTAAACACAGCTGCTCAGGCTGCAGGTCCAGGGGAACCTAGGCAGGATGCTCCCGGAGAGACGCCGATTTACGGAGGTTCCTGGCAGTGGGCACATGGGGGAGGGGGCTTACTTTATCTTTTTTTTTTTTTTTTTAGATTTGATGCATCCCACAGACATTGTTCAAGAAGACAACCGCACTTCTCTCCCCTGCTTCCCGCCAACCCCCACCCCCTTCCCTGCCCTTTCTCATTCTCTTTTGATCTATTTTTGCAAAGACATAGTTTCTGTCCACTCTATATTCATGGCCTTAGTTCACTACTAATACTAATATTCAACAAGTAGTAAGGCCACAATTCCACGTAAGTGTAAACACGTACTCATTACGGCCATCATGTCCCATATAGGGACCATATATTTCATCCCTATACTGGTTTAAAATTATTTTTTTTTTAAAAAAATATTTATTTTTCATTGGAAAGGCACGTTTACAGAGAAGGAGAGACACAAAGGTCTTCTGTCCCCTGGTCCACTCCGCAAATTGCCACAGTGACTGGAGCTGAACCGATTTGAGCTGATCCAAAGCCAGGAGCCTGGAGTCTCTTCCTGGTCTCCCACGCGGGTGTAGGGTCCCAAGGCTTTGGGTCGTCCTCCACTACTTTCCCAGGTCACAAGCAGGGAGCTGGATGGGAAGTGGAGCAGCCAGGACACGAACCAGCACACCCAGATGGGATCCTGTCCTTGAAGGCGGAGGATTAGCCAATGGAGCCACTGCATCGGGGCCACATTTCAGAGAAAACATATCGGTCCTTTTGAAACAGGATTATTTAATTCATGGTTTCCAATTGCATCCTTCTTGTCACAAGAGATTTCATCTTTTTTTTTTTTTAAGCTGAGTTTTCTGTAGTGTGTGTGTAGCACATTTTCTTTATCCGGCGGTGTGCTGATGGTGTGCGCTAGGTCACTGAGTTCTGGGGACACAGGAGAGGCCCAGGATAGGTGGCTGTGGGCAGCTTCTAGTTTTTTCTTTTTTTATCTTAGCCATATGGCTGTGACTGGAGGATGCCAGGCCAAGGCTGTCCTAGTCAGCCGTCATTGCAGGTACGGGCTTTGAACACTGCTGTCTGACTATGAAACTCAGCCCTTAGATCCTTCCCAGCCAACCACGCTCAGCCATTCCTGTCCATGTTACGTAGAGAAAACCTCAACAAAAACGTGGTGCCTTGCAGAGTGGACAGGCTCTTCCAGCACCCGTCCCCGGCTGCGTGGACTCAGGCGGTTCACTGTGGCCAGGCTTGCAGTGTTCCAAGCTTGGGGCACAGACACTTGCATCTGTATGTGTGTGTGCAGAATTGAAGAAGGGGATTCTGCTGTGCATTTCAAGAAGCAAGGACCTGAACTACTATCTCTTGGTCGCTAATAAAATTGATAAAGCAGGAATTTTACCTTTGGGGTTGAGAACGAATCCTTTCGGCTCGAGGATTTTATTTGTCGTTTACATGGATAAGGTAGGTTTTGATTCTGGCTTTTAAGTTTTTGGTGTTTTGTGACGAAGATGACATTTTATTAATAAATAGGTTTACCTAATGAAACTGGGTCATGTATAGCATGACAGCTGTTTCCAGAGTGACATACTAAGCCTGGATACATTTTGGTATCTATCAATTTAAAATGTATGTACCTTAAAAAGAAGAATTCACACGTCATCAAAATAGACATACCCTTTTTTATGCCTGATTGCATTTGTGATTTCAGGAATAAAGTGAAGACCATGTCACTTCTGTCTGTGCCATGTAAGCTAGAAATTAACTTGTTGAGGAAAAAGCAAGCCTGCCATTTTAGCCAACTCTCCAAAAAGAAAAGAAAAGAAAAGGAAAGGAAAACCATTTACTCAGTGTCATTTGTGGAAACTGCCCAGAGCTTCAGAAAGTATCAAAATGTTGTATAATGTTTCAAAGCCAATATCAACTTTTCTGTTGTGTTCAGTATGAATGAACAGAAATGGCCAACATGCAATGCTGGAAAGCTGTGTTCAATTGTTTTTCTTATCTGTTTCATTTCTCTGTGCCATACTCTTTTGGCTTTAGCTTGTTATTTTCCTCTTAATTCATTAAAATGTCTTATGGATTGAATTATCCCCCTTCCCCAAATCCTATCCCTAATTCCCAATGTGATTGTATTTGAAGACAATTAGGGAAGTAATTACGTTTATATGAGACCATAAGGATGGAGAACTAATAAGGTAGAATTGATGTCCTTGCAAGATGAGAAAGAGCCATCAGAGAGTTCTTCCATGGAAGAATATTGAGAAGGTAGCTGTAAGCAAGCCAGGAAGAGGGCCTCACCTAAACCACCTTGATGGCACCTTGATGTTGGACTAGCTTCAAGACTGAAATTTTTCTTGTTGGAGCCATCCACTATGTGACATTCTGTTGCTATTTGTTTTTGTGTTTATTTGAAGAGGGAAGAAGAGAAGAAGGCAAAAAGAGGAAAAAAAAGAGAGAGATGGATCTTAGATCTGTTAGTTCACTCCTCAGATGTCTACCGCAGGTAGGGCTGGGCCAGGCTGAAGCTAGGTGCCCAGAATTCAGTCCAGGTCTCTCACACAGATGGCACGGCCGTCACCCCCTGGCTCCGCACGGATGGCATGGCCGTCACCCCCTGGCTCCGCACGGATGGCATGGCCGTCACCTCCTGCCTCCCCGCATGTTCTCTGGCAGGATCGGGGATGGAAAGCAGAATAGCTGGGACGCTCTGAAACATGAGACACGTGGTAGACCAATGTCTTCCCACTCTGCAAGTCTGTGATGTTTTGTTACAGCAGTTCTTGCAGGCATATACAAGGTATTGATTCCAGATCATTCTTCTTTTGCCATAGAGGCATTTACTGCTATGCAGTGCCTCCCAAGCATTCTTTTCCCTACCTCTTCTAGGTTTTCATAGTACATGATTCTTTATTAATAAACTCAATATGCTCCATTATAACATTGCTCATGTCTAGAACAATGAATTACTATCATTCAGTATATTTTCTCCTGAGCCTTTGCAAACATCTTCACAAGGTGCTACAGCAACAAAAAAATGTGATCCTGGCACTTAGAATGGTTTTGGTAGTAAATTAAAAATACTTTCTTGTGTCAGTATATTCAGGAAATATACCCTTGATTGAAGAAGTTTAGAAATTAATACACAAGGAATGCACTGGTCAATGTTCTCCAGAGAAGCAGAACTAATAGGATGGAGATAATGCATACATGCAGGCAGTGGGGCTGGGAGGAAGGCTGTTCTTGTGATGCTGGTAGCTCAGCTGGCAAGTCCAGAGTCTGTTGGGCAAGATGGCAGCGTAGGGAGGTCACTAAGAGTTGACGTTGCAGACGAGTTCGAAGATGTAAAACAGGCAGACTTTCTTTTTTTTTTCTTGTTTTTTCTTTCATTTTTTATTATTATCATTTTTTTTGTGGTTATTGAACTGACATTCTTTTTTTTTTCCCCCTAGGGCTGGCTTAGTGTTGGAATATTTTTTAAAATTTTTTTTAATTCTTTTTTTTTCTTTATTATTGACAATCTTTACATAGTTAATTAGGGCAAAAAGGTTCAAGGGCTATAGGAAAGTGGGGAATACTCTTATTTTTTCCATATTGTTTCCTTCATGTTTAAAAGGGGGGTATTAAGGGAGAAGGCCTACCCAATTTTCCACCCTCCCCAAGTCCCAGTTGTAGGGTATGCTCTGAGGTTCTTGCTCAGGTGGTTTTGATATTTCAACAGTTATGAATCGCTGCCTATCTTGACACTCCAAGCACTATGAGATCATTGAAGAATCCACTGATTGGGCCTGGCATGATGGCGCAGTGGTTAAAGTCCTCACCTTGCACGCCAGGGATCCCATATGGGCGCCGGTTCTAATTCCGGAAGCCCAGCTTCCCATCCATCCCCCTGCCTGTGGCCTGGGAAAGCAGTCAAGGATGGCCCAAAGCTTTGGGACCCTGCACCCGTGCGGGAGACCCGGAAGAGGCTTCTGACTTCGGATTGGCTTATCTCCAGCCGTTGTGGCCGCCTGGGGAGTGAATCATCAGATGGAAGATCTTCCTCTCTGTCTCTCCTCTCTGTATATCCGCCTTTCCAATAAAAATAATAAATCTTAAAAAAAAATCCACTGATTGACATAATCCATCATAGAGTCTCTGCCCTGTATTTCGCTGAATAGGCAGACTTTCTGTGGTGCAAGGTGGAAGTACAACTATTTGGGGGGCAGGGTGGGGGACAGGAACCTTGGGCTTTACACTCCAAGCCTTCAGCAGATTTTCATGATGCTCACCCTTTTATGTACTTTCTTTAAAGATTTGTTTATTTTTATTTGAAAGGCAAATTTACTGAGAGAGAGAGAGAAAGTCTTCCATCCTCTGGCTCACTCAAATGGCTTACTGAAGTGGCCAGGGCTGAGCTGATCTGAAGCTGGGAGCCAGGAGCATCTTCTGGGTCTTCCACATGGATGCAAGGTCCCAAGGGCTTGGGATATTCTTTGCTGCTTTCTCAGACCGTAA